GTGCCTGGAGCACCTCCTCCATCTCCTAGTTCACTGACTTTGATGTCTGCAGAGTTTTTTCTTTCACACTTTCTCACTTTCTCACTTCTCTCTCCTCTGGCTGCCATCTGTTACACAGTTTTCTTTTTCCCCTTAGATACTTTATCACAGAGGTGCTACTGTCTTCCCTGATGGGCTCAGCCTTGGCCAGCAGTGGGTCATTCTTGGAGTTGGCTGGAACTAGCTCTGTCTGACATGGGTGCAGCTTCTGGCGTCTTCTCACAGAAGCCACCTCTGCAACCCTACCAAAACCTTGGCACACAAATCCAATACAGCATCATATCCAAACCAATAATAGTTACGTTTTTCTAGTCACCTGTGATATAGATTCACATGGAATGATTTGCCTTAGAGCATGAGGTACAAGACAAAAAAATCTTGTAGAGATGTTATCTTGTGGTGGACATCAGTGCTATAATAAATACTTTATCTGTCACTCCTCACTTTAGTGCTTTAGCAAGAGAGAATTTTAAAAGGTTTTTTTTACAAATGCACAGCTTTGCCTTTATTTGATATGTGGCCTTTTGTCCTCCCATTTAGGAATTGCTTAATAACACTGTTGAATGATAGAAACTCCTTCCTAAAGGAGTTTACAAAACAGTGTCCACACACATTAAGTAACATAAAGCTGTGACTGCTTTCTGACGTTCTTCCTACAAGCATACTTTGTTTTGTAATCCAAATTTTGTTAGTTGGCTTTTACACAAAAAGAATGTATGGGGATTTTTAAAAGACTGCCTTCAGGGTCAGGTTAATAATCCCACAAAAGTTCCAATTAATGCTAAAATGCAGATTTTTTTTTCCAGGAACTTTTTAAATTGACTTTTAAAAACTGACATGTAACTGATCACAAGTGTTTAAAAAAGGCAGTGAAATATATTAGATAAACCTGTTCAAGATATCTGCTGACATTCCATCTAGTTTCTTGTGCTCAGAATTGCTCATCTTCTGTGGTGTAACAGCACCAAAGGGAGGTTGTAGCTGGAGGAAAATTTGTCACTGCCTGTGAAATCTGCTCCAGTATGCTGCATTTCTTGGGCACGGGTAGAGCAGATGAATTCTACTGGCTAAATATGGTCGGGCTGCTTCTGCTTGTTTGAATATTTAAACCTTCTGGGTATGAATGTGTCTTGCTGATTAAAATGGCTTCGATCGTGTACAAATTGCAACACAGATGTTCCAAATTTAAGTCTTACTATCAAAGTAGTTAGAAACCTATCTTGTGTGACAGATGACTAGTTACCACTCTTTTAAAAAACCAACCAACCAACCAACAAATCTTGTACAGAATCTGATCCCAAGTGACTACCCAGATCAAGTATCTCAGGTGAACAGTCTGGCTAACATGATGGTGTACTCCTGGATCTGCGTTTTTGGTAGCACTAGGAATGCTAGAGAGTAAGAATTGATCCAGAGTTGAGTGAGCAGAGCTGGAACTGTTCTTCCATGGACAACTAAACTGATTTGTGCTGGTGGACAAACCATCCAGTACATAAATGCTTAACTTAAGAAGTCTACTTCAGAAAATTTTAGGAAACTTTTTGAAAAAGAACAAAAAGATGCAGACAGAGTGTAAAATATTTGCAGACAGCTTGGGAGTTTTTTGAAGACAACGCACTTGGAGGCTTACAATATATGCACTTAAATCTTTTTTAAATAGACTTCAAAAGATAGTCCTTGTCCCATCCCGTCCCCTGTCCTCTCCCCCCAGTGCTGGCATGGATGAACAGCAGGGTGGAGTGAAATGCCTGAAATACAACATCATACTTTGCGAATCTAAACTTTTGCCCAAATGATGAAAATGGAGAACAGTAAAAAAGCTGGTGGATTTAACCAATAATTACTAAACAAGGCAGTAAAATTTTATGCCTGTTGGGAGTTACTAATCAAAAAACTGTAAGTATCTTCTCACTCAGCAGAAAAGTTTCTGGACTATCTGTAGGGTCTGTAGACAACTGAGTTGTAAATGGTGGCTTTGGGAGAGTATAAGGTTGTAGCTGAAAAATGGAATGGCTTGCATTGACTTGGAGGACACTTAGAAAGGTCTTCATGCCAGAATATTTCTTAAGAAGGGATGTGATGGAAAATGCAACTCAAAACAAAACATCAGTGGAAGAAATTGCAGTACATTAAGCAAACTGAATGAGGCAGCAGGATCAAATGGCATTCATCCAAGTGTTGTAAGAGGAGCTGAGGGATAAAGGAGCTAATGACTGTAGTGTGTGTTACTTGTTGGTTAGCATCATCTTTCTGTTACAGGTGAAGAAGGTAGCTAATATGATACCAGCTTTTTAAAAAGGCAGTGGAGGTATTTGAGGAACTTTACATGACCTTAAAAGCCAAATTCATTGAAATGATAATAAGAACCAGAATTACTGTCATCCTTCCTTCTGTGAAGTCCTTTAACAAAAGCTTTTGGAGAGGCTAAGTTGCCTCAGAATAAAATTGAAAGTTTTATAAAGAAAACTGACAATAGAAACAGAGTGCAAAAGTGTTTTCTTAATAGAAGGAGTAACCAGTTGAATTCCATTATTAACATTGGTGCACAGATACAAGGAAAAGGTTTGATATTGAGGTGACAGTTTTTAGATGTCGCAAACTTTACTTGAGTTACTAGAATGGCTAGCTGTCTAAAGAAAATTGGAAATGCTCAAGTTTTTGGTTATGTGTGTTAAAGTCATATGAAATTCAGTGTAGGTAAATGCCAAGTAATCTAAGTAAACAAGAAGTAGGAAAGAGGACTTTTGTAGCCAGTGATTGGCTCTGAATTGGTTCTAACCAATCATGACTGAAAGATGGAAATATGTGGTACGCAAAGATCAGTGCAGTTCTCCATTACAGTGAAAACAGGAAGTCCAGTGTTAAGACTTATTACAAAACAAATAACCAATGAGAAACATCGTGCTGCCTCTGTAGAAGTTTTATGGCAAGTCTGCATCTTGAATATTCCTCATAGTGTTGGTATCTTCTCATTTCAAAAGGGATACAGTAGACTAGAAGAGCTTCAGAGAGAAGCATTAAGAGTGATTTAGAGGCATGAAACAGCTTTTCTCTGGGGAAAAAATTAAAAATACTATTTTTTTTTTTCTTTCTGCCTGGGCAAAGGATGATGAAAGAAGACCACAGAGATCTGTGCAATTGTGAGTGAATAGGGAAGGATTACTTATTACTGTTTTCCAAAGTAAAAGAACTGGAGGAGTACTAAGTAGGAGCAAGAGATGACAGATTGAATCAGGACAAACAAAAGTAGATACTTAATCATGTAACTTATAATTAACCTGAGGTACTATCTGCTGCAAGTTACTGGTGTTTCTTTGATGTAAGGTTGATTAAAAAAGAAAGTGGGGAGAAGAAAAAGGCTAGCAAAGGCTGTGCTCAGGAGGTCCTCAGCAGCTGCAGGTAGCTGGAAGCAGAGGTTGAAAATGCAATAAATATTTCTGTATGCACTGTTAGTCTAGACATCTGTTGTTGGTTGTGATTAAATAAAAAATATTTATCAAAACATAGAGTTGCGTTAATTATTTCTAAATGCATTTCCCACCATCTAAAGAAAAACATAGTAAGAGAAGACAGATCTAAATTATACCAAAATTAAAGCTGCTGTATAGTTTGTCATATAGACAGTGTGTGAGACAGCTCTTAGTCACAGTAATTAGGGCATGGTATGAAAAGTGCCTTGCCTTAATGAGTGTTGTCTCTGTGCTCTGGATTTACTTCTCTTTAAGAATACCCCCATCTCATTGTACTATATGAAAATGTCCATACTGTTGGGTATTGCAGTAGATAAATCTGAGATTTGATGTAGTGTGACTGTTCTTAGAAAGTTCAGGTTTTTACTTAGTTGATGCTGACACTGAAATTTCAGTTAACATCAGATGCTAATTCAGGTCAGTGTCAGATGTTGAATTGAAAAGAAGTGTTACCTTGAAATTGTACTTGGGGAAGTTCAGAACTGTTGCTTTTATGTGGAAAAAGTTAAATAGATGCTTGGGTATTAGATATTTAATAATAAATGTGAGGACTTTTTTTCCATGTGACATGTAGTTCATATCAGAGAAGGAACCCTTAAATTTACAAGTATCAGTAGAACTGTTGAAATCCTTGTAAAAGTACTTCATGTCATAATTTTAAATGGCTTTCTAAATTGTTGCACTGGTATTCAAGATTTTGAAAGATACTCACTTTTATTTCTTTAGCAAAATGAATCACCACTGCATTGATGAATATGTTTTGTCAAATAATAGTTAAACGTTGACATCAACAAAATAAATACTTGGGGAAAATATATGCATCTTGTTTATTTCTCTAGGTTGTGTTGATTAATGACTCAGCTTGAAATCAAGACTTATCTTAACTTGTTCTCATTTCAGCTTTGGATAGATCACAGTCCAAGAGAGATGGAGGTTTTAAGAATAATTGGAGCTTTGATCATGCAGAAGAAAGTGAAGGAGATGCAGAGAAAGAGTAAGGATGCTTTTATCTAGGCTACTGAAAGTTTAAGTGTCTATTTATAAATACTTTTTGTAATTTATTAATAAGAAAGAGTATATAATATCTTTAAAATTTCAATTATTAAATATGGTTTCAAAGAAGTGATTATTTTAAATAGTATTGCCATATAAAAATGCATTATAATGCAAATCTGTGAACATGGGACTTACAACACAGAGCACAGCATGTTTCAGAGTGTTGTAGTTGTCTTTAGATCTACTGTGTAAGTAAGGCAGGCAGACAACAAATACCTCAACATGCAAAGTAAGGAAATAAAATACCAGGGTACCCAAGCAGCTTCAGCTTTTCCTTTAGTGGTGGTGCTACTCAGTACTCGGCAGTTACAGTCAAGGTACTTCAGTAGCTGCATCCCTACATCAGGTTAAACTCAGCCTAAAAGACTGTAAGTTTTTCTCCCCTGTGCTTAGAGCACGGGGTAGACTTAAGGCTGGTTTTGTTCCCTGAGCATTTATTTCGTTCCTTAGTATTTTGGATTTTGACTAAAACTTAAACCCTATGTGTGTAGTTTAGATACATACTTTGTGCTTGTGACACTTTATTGTTACCAATATATGTTCTCTATTAATGTATTTATATCCAAAAAGACTAATAAATCGTTAAAAGAATAACAAGTGTCATGCATGAAGAATGCATGTTAAGTTCAGTTGTTATTTGCAGGTATTTGGAGATTAGGACCTGCACATTTAAAAAGTATGCTATGGTTCTCTAGCAAGCAGAAACTGAATCCTGTGCTTAATTTCAAAAGTAATTCTTATATGTACTTGTATCTTGTAACATTCTGCCAAATATTGTGTGTTGGAATGGAGATAGGAAAGTAGACACATAACCACTTAGGCTGCTGCAGCAGGTTATGCTGTAATCTTTCACAAACTCGAAGAAATACGATGTTTTAGTCATTAAAAACTGAGTTTAGGCGTCCATTGAAGTGTGTGGTAAACACTAAGAACTTTTGTCAAAATAGAACTGTATGAAAAGTTAAAACCGTTCTTTAAAAGGTTCTCAAACTAAGGGCATTTTAGTTTTACAAAATTAAGCTTACTTTTTTTCTTAGCAATTTTCTTCTGGAAGCACAGGAATATGTTTTAAGTTTAGTGGCAGTTCATATTATTGTTAGCAGTTGCATTTTACTTTTCTGTAGGAAAAAAAAATCCCCTTGTATTTGTAAGCAAAGCAGCTTTTTTTCTTCTCATAATGTACTGCTGTTTTCTGTTTTTCTCTAGCTGATGTTGACTTAACACAGAATGAGATATGTGTACTGTGATGCTTTAAAAAAAAAAGTTTGAACATATTATGGAACATATGTTTTGTGTAATTGTATCTGATTTTAAGATGGTATTTCTAAGTGACTTTTTCATTCCTTTCAAATATTCAGTATGATAAACAGTTTTCTTGTAGCCAGTACTGGAATTTTATTACCTACTCACATCAGTAATTGTTTTTTATACCTGTGAATTATGTAGATAAGTCTGGAAGTATAGATAAAAGTGTAGTTGAAAATTGATTTAAACAGGAGATCCTGCATTTTTTGCATACTGATCCTCTGATACAATTTCAGGCAACTTCTTATATGTGTCTGTGTGGCAGACACACAGTGAGTTTATTTTGAACTGGCCTGAGAATGACATTCCAGCACTTAAGGGATTGGCTGTGTTGGCCAATATTGGGTGTCTCCTTGGATTAGCTTTCCTCAGTGAAATGAACACAAAGTACGTGGTCAACAACCTCCTAACAAAGCAACTTTAAGAACAGGTAGATTATTTTAAAAGAAGTGTGTCATTTAACTTATTTGGGGAATTAGGTGTCCCAGGTTAATGGGATAGGATAGGGTTCATGCTCACGGGCAGCTGGGCTGGGGTAAGCAACCAAACCACCCCATGGGGTACTAGATACCCTGCTGAGGTCAAGCCCTGTATAAGGGGAGGGATTGGCCCATGGAGCCCCTTGTTTTCAGTGTGTGGCTTCAGCTGCTGTGACCTGACCAAGGAAAGAACATCTTGGGTACCACAGAGAATTTGCGGGTTCACTCACTCTGTATATTATTTCACAAGTGGTGGTGTTGTTACTGTTGTCTCTCTTTGTGTTGCTCTATTAAACTGTCCTTATCTCAATCCACGAGGTTTTGTTTTCTTTTCTTCCCATTTCTCCTGCCCTAACACATGGTGGGGTAGTGGTGGTGTGTGTGGAGGGAGCAGTGGACACCACAATAGGCTGTGTCATAATGATAAGATGTCAAGTAATGAACACAAAAAGAGTAAGAAAACTTTGTAAATTAAAGACAGTTTGGAAAAATAAATGATCACTCGACACTATTTACATATTTAAATGCTGCTAGAGTTGATACTTGGCATGGGACTAGAGTTAGATTCAGAATGGTGATGGACAAGTGTCTTATCCCAAATTAAGTGCCTGCAGATAATCTTCAATCCATTTGAAAAAAGTAACATTTTTGATGATTTACAAGATCTGATCTACTTAAGATAGCAATCAAGATGATAGCAAGCAACTTGAGACTTCTCTTGCTTTGTGCTTGGAGATCACGCAGGAGAGGAACCCTTATGTGGAACACCAGAAGGACAGACCAATTGGTCAGTTTAGCACACTGAAACCTGGGTAGACCATCACGGAATAAATGATGGAAATGTTGTGTTTCATACATAGCAGAAGTCATCAAAAGATGGAAGACTTGCAAACGGGGCCAAAGTAATATATTAATTAAATTCATTTCTGAAATTAATATGCTGTAATCTTCCTAGTTTTACAAGTGATCATTCTTGACGTGGCTTGGATAATTTATATTTACTTCCTTTTTAATATCTGGGGAAAATATTTCTGTGAAATATGTCACAATATGCCCCACAGTGGTTTTGTAAATCGATGGGCTTAGTCTACTATTGGTTGTCCAGCTGTTTTTTAAATAGTCCAGACCTGGGCCTTCTGCTGAGATTTATTCAATACTAGCTTTAGCAAAAAAATGAATATAAATAAGTGGATCTAATTTATTTGCAGTTTGGTATCCTTTCTTAACTAACGTTTTCTTTCAAAAAGTGGGATTTTTTTATTCCCTTTTATTTAGGGAGATAAACTGCTTGTTCTCTTGTACTGCTGACTGGAAAAGCAATGATACCTTACAAAGTAAATTCTGTCAACTGTTCAGTTTTACTTCAACCCTTTCTTTTATTCCTTCCTCAGAACAAACCCCTCCTCTCCTGTATTTATATAGGTGTGTTATGCTTCTTTTGTGACCTTGTTAGTAAGGCAGTATAGACTTTAAATAGATAAGGAGATTTTTGTTCAGAGCCTCAGTTCTTAATTTATAGCTGTTTTACTTAACTCAAGCACAATGTCATCTTGTTAAAAATAATCTTAATAATACCACTGCTTCTCTCAAGCCTCCGATGTGCTGCTTACCACCATGTAATGTAAAATAAAGAATGTGCAGTGTCCTGTGAGGGGAAATAAGTCATGCTCCTGTTTGTAGATGTAAGAGTTTTCAGAAAGAAATTTCAATTGAAATGTGGCTGCATCACTTGGTAGTTGACAGAAATATGCTTGCAGCTCGTTGGAGTGATCAGATCAACAGAATTAAGAGAGAATTAAGGTCATTATATTGCAGTCAACATATCATACTTGCAGCTGAGAAATGTTTTCACTGTCATCTCTACTGTTGTTTCTCTTCTGTAACTGTTCCTTTGGAACTCCTAGTATAACTGCTTGCATTCTTAAGTAATTTTTGCCTGAATTATCTTAATTAAAACCCACAAAACCATGCAAATACATAAAAGTTGCATTGTTTTGTTGCGGCCAAGACAGGAGTAACCTGACCAGGCTTGATTAGGAAGGTTTTTCTGCAGGTTGCTTCTGGAAGCAAGAGTTGTGTTAGCCTGATCTCTTATCAGTATAAAACATATGATTGGAGTTTTAATTGAAATATGTAAGATTTTTTGAGGATAAGTGCCCATTTCTGAAAAGAGTACTTTTTCACAGTATCATGGAGTGGGTGGGTTTCTTTTTCTGTTATCGTCTTCTCCATTATAATGGTTGCAGATTACAGATAGAAAAGTACTAAAGTAACACATTTTAATGAACAGTTGAACCAAATGGAATATACTGTTTTTAGGAAGACACATTTTGGCAGTAATTGCTGTGGGATAAAATTTGGTTATACATAAGTTGTTCTCCTGAAGCACTGTGAAGTTTGTGGTTTTGAACCACATACTTGAACACTGATATTCATGAACAAACCAAGACTGTATTTTATAGGTTAATTTAATATTTGATTCAATTTAGTATTTGATTTAATTTATGCATAGAGGTATATATACTCTCATGATCCCAGCAATATTGTGGTAACACTACAGGTTTACTATCATGCTCTAATTTGAAGTAGTTATATCCTTTTAGTTTTGCTTTGTTGTTAAATAATTCGATATTTACTTTTAAGTTCAGTGCGGATAATAAACTTTGCCCCGTCTATGTTCCTTTTTTAAGCATATATTATACAGTGTGTATGTGATGCATTGAAATTTAAAGGGGCAAGGCCAAAAAAAAAAGGTCTTTTGTGTGTTTTAAATGTTCTGCTGCCACTCTGCTTCATTAGTATATATCTGCTTTTCTCTCCCCCACCATCTAGCGAGGCAAATCTGCTCAGCATAGATGACAGTGATGGGCCTTTCAGTCCCATTGAAGAAAGAAAGGCAAGTTCTCTGTTCCTCTCATGGTGAAAATGTATCCTTAAAGCTTGTGAGGTTCCTAAACACTGTTGCACAGTCATCTGTGCAGTTGCACAGCAAAAGTGTGTGTGTTGGTTTAGCAACATATGCTCGAGCTGCTTTACCTGTCTACACCTAATGCCTTTGTTTCTCTTACTCCTTAAAATCTTGTTGATTTGTATAGTATTATGAAAATATGAGCATCAATAACTAGTTTTAACTTTAGACAGCTATATTAATGAGATTACATATTAAAAGTAAAAATATTAATCATTACATCCCATGAGATTCCTTACTGTCAGATTCCCAAAATTGTATGCATATGTGTGTGTGTGTGTATATTTATATGAAAATGGAGAAGATACATGGGAAAAACCCATGCTTTTTGTGTTTTTTTTTTTTTTTTAATGTATACTGAAATAGCTTACAACTACAAGACGTTTCATAATACTTTGAAAATAGTCATGTTTTGTTTAGTAAGGAATCTAGTGAGTAAAAGTATTTTTTTACATGAAATTAGGTACAAAAGCAGGCCAAAAATGAAGCCAGAGTAATGTTTATATAAATAATGTGTAATATTTTTTCCTTTTGGCTTTTATACAAGTATTTTGATAGATGTGAATTCTGTTGTTACAGTCACTTCGTTTTCGGCCTGGAGCTGTTGGCACCAGTGGTGATTCCATAAAAACATACGCAAGGAGAGGTAAAGCTGGGAGCTTGAGGTTTTTAAAAGGAAATTCAATTGGCCTCAACATGATGGGAAATAGCAAGAAACTGAGGTAAGAGGTTTAGTTTATGTATACTTACCTACTGGATCATTGACATAAATGAATGCTAAATGAACAGAACTTGTAGGATTATCTGCTGGGCATTTTAAGAAGCTGCACTGTTCTGTGCTTATAAGTAGAGATAAAATGGTTATTGGAGTTAGAGCATTCACTGACATACTTGTCAGTGCCTTACGAATGGAGTCTGCATGTGTTGTTTCCTCTATACAGTGCTAGCAGGGAGGACATTTTTAACACCTCTGTCAAGAATTTGTTCTCTCCGTGGCTTTGAATTGCCAAGGTTAAGTCAGGATGCATTTTCTGTTTTCCTTATTCCAAGATATAATTTCATCTAAGCATCATGGACTATTCCTTTAAAGGGTTCAGCAAATATCCATACTCCTGCATAACAGCTCAAGATTGTCACTTGCATTTAGAGCTGGCAGGAACAGTGCTTAAGCATTCTGTGCTGTCTTTGCTTGTTAGCACTGTCCCTAGCTTGTAACAGGCTGATCTGTGTATTTAGTAATAATAAAACATGATGCATTCATGCAGCTTTCACAGGGATTGTTCCATCTTGCTGAAGTGCACTTGGTTTGGTTACCTCTGTGGGAAGGAAAAGTTTGTAAGCTAGCTAGAGTTAGGCCAATCCTCAAATGTCCAACCCGTGCGTAGCTATATGAGGCATGTCCTTGTCTTTTTTGCATGCTGATCCATAGAACATTGTTGCAATTTTAACTTATTCTCACATAGTTTGAATCTATCTTGTTGAATTTCAGAATCTAATGACCCATCACCCACTATCTTAACCAAATGTGATACATAAACTACTTTAGTTCAGGTTTTCTGTAGCTTGCGTATGGTCTTTGACAATTACTACCTTAATAAACGTAAGACCTCATATGAATTACAAAATTCTACTAAAGAAAAGGAAAATCTGTTGCCCGTTATGTTACCTTACTTAAAAGTTACATCACCTACTTTGAAAGCAGGTATCTGCCTTCTGTCTAGTCCTGAGCTCCATGCTGAATTTAAAAGGAAAATATAAGTATCCACCTTCTTCTTACTAAACTGTCATGAATGGAGGAGTTTAGTTTGGAATAATGGATATGTGGAGGCCATTGTGACTGCTGTAAATACTTAATATCTGGTTAAAAGTCAGACTACCAACATTACTTAACTGCATTTTGGATTTGGGTCAATAAGTCTGCTTAGAAATGTGATTATGCTATAAGCAATTATCTTGATTTAACACCTTAACTGTGATAGCATTATAGCTTTCATAAAACATTTATCACAAAAAAAGAAAATAAAAAAAATCCCCAACCCAAACCCCAAATGTATAGACGTTTGTGATACTGTCACTGTCTGTAATGAAGCTTCGTGGTATGTTCACTCTGACATGCAGCATGGAAGGTGCCTAGTGGTTACCCTTTCAGTATTTGGACTCTTCAACTAGAGAAAATTCTGAATGTTGATTACACATTTACTTAACATTCTTGAGCTATTTGTGGTGATTTTTATCACAAAGTGGAAGTTCCTTTTTTTCACCATGTCTGCAAAGTAGGGATTAAAAATTCTTCAGATCAGTGGGGCTTGACTCAAATTAGTATTATTATAGTACAGTATTCCCTAAAATTCATGGAATGAGTGCTGGGAAGAAGGGATATGCAAGGACATAGAGAAAAAATTTTCCATGTACCTGTCCACTTACATATACAAAAATTTAAATCAACCAAAGTGTTATCTGGTTATGAAAATCCAGTATCAAACTCTATCATAACCCGAATAGTTTTGTTATTTGTTGTTGGGGTGGGGTTTTTTTTGTTTTGTTTTGTTTTTAAAACCATGAGCTGTTACTTTAAATCTTTGCTTATGTTCAATAACTTGTATCAAAATTTCTCACATTAATAAGTCCCTTTTAGATTTTTTTTAATATTTAATAAAAAAAGTTATTTGCAAAAATAACTTAAAAATAATAACTAAAAATTTTTAACTAAAAATAGTTAACAGCAGAATTCATGTAGTCTGTTAGTTGTGTCCTGTGTTCCTGAAATATCCTGCTTCCATTACTTGTAAATTCACCATTTTGCCCAGTGCAAAACTCTTTGCTTTGCCTTTTGTATCTGTGGTGCTAAGAAGTTCCTAGCATCAGTTGACAGAATGTGGCAGTGTAACCTTGTTTCCATCACTTTATAGTGTTTAAATGTTTCTGTGGTTTCTGAGATCACAGCAGAGACATGTATCTTTAATACACTGTAAGCTCTTCGAGGCTTCTAGAACTTTCAGGGAACTTTTTGACTGTTACATCACCCTGGTTTGAGTTGTCCTGTGTTCTTGAAACTGTGCTGAAACTTGCAAACACAGATTTGAGTTCGTTTGTGTCCATTTTGCAACTTGCTTGGATTTCGTGTTTCAATTTTCTGATGATTCTGCCTGCACTGAGTATGTTCTACTCAAAGAGCAGGATTATAGAGTAGGTTGTATTTTACAGCTGTCCTACTTGGAAGCCTGTCTGGTGCCATATGAACCCTTTAATTGTGCCATCTAGAATGGTCTGCTTTGACTCAAAGCTGATCAGCCAGCAGGCTGCTGGGGATTCTAGTCCAGCACCTACTGGAGTTTCTCACGACTTGAGTGTGAGGCAGAAAGCTGAATTGCTGCTTAGTGTTTTTTTTTTTTGTGTTGCAGGGGCACAGGGCTCAGTTTCCCAATCATGATAGTTTGGCAAAGCTCAGGTTCAACAAATAAAATGATAAAACATGAGATCAGATGTGTTTATAGACTTGCTTGTTTGTTTAAACTCCTTAAGTCTTGAGCATTTGAGAAGACATTCCTGCAGTCTGCTTGAGTTTTCTTCACTAGTACCTCTTTCAAAGACACTAAACTGGAAGCCAGATGGGATTTGAGAGACTCTAAACTGCTGAGGGCAAATAGCTGTGAGCTTTCTATTTCTTAGGTGACAACACTAAACAGAAGGTTGTCTGTAAATTTGTCTGGATGGTGACTGACTAGCTGGAGTTGCATACTCCTAAGTTGGAAGCATGTGGGAGGAGTTTGTTTACCTTTCAGGAGATGGGGAAACTGAACAGAGGCAGCTAGATTAGTTTGGAGGAGTTCCTATTCTGGAAAAAAAAGATTTACCATGTGGTTGTATTTGATAGGTCTTACTCTGTTATGTTCCTTGTTATGTTACAGTCAGATCGTCACAATCACCTTATGGTCAGTCAGGAATGCTCTGAAAGGTGCTAATATTGACTTGCAATGCTCAATATAAGGATCCCAGAAGGGTTCGTAGTGCTTCAAAGAATTTTGAAAAACAAGCTAGCAGTTTGCTCACTTCACCTTTTGGAGGAATGTAGGGGAAGGATTAGGAGCTGATCGTCAGCTGTGTGGGGAATTTTGGTACTCCAGTTTTTTTCAGTGTTCCCAACAGGATAAACAGCAGGACCAAAACTGTTCATTAATATTTCTGAGCGTCCTGGTCCAAATCTTGACACTGAGAAATATTTTTAACCAATCAGAATGCTTTTTCACATAATTTTATTTAGTTCAGTTAAAATTTCTGAGAAATTTTGCAAGCCAAATGTGTTTTATTTCAATAATTTGAAACAATTTGCCTTGTCAACATGCTGCTAGAAGTTGAAAGTTGTTTTTTTTTTTAACGTTTCAAGTGTCATGTTGTGTGTCCTGTAACAGAAGTGTGCAGCATAATGATCTTTGGAGGAGTACTATACTATTGATCTACTGTATCTTTATATTAGCTTTACTTACCGTTATCCTCTCTAGTAAATCTCTCCGAAATTTCCTGTTTTACATGGTAATGAGGTTAAAGTGTCAAAAGGCAACAAATGAAGAAGCCAAAGAAGTGCTCAGAGACATGTTGAATATACTATCTCTGTGCAGAGTCCTACTGAGATGTCAGAGCACCTGGGGATCTTTCTCTTTTCTTTTTAAGATGTTTTGTGTTGTTTCAGTTAGCAGCCATATTACATTTGTAAATTTTCTGCATTTATTATCTCTTGTGAGTAATAAATGAAGGAATTTCCTGCATGTGCAATTCAGTCTGCTCACATGTTGTGCTCTTTATGTCAAACTAAAGAATATTATGCATTAATAAAATGTATAGATGGAAGTATAAAATTAAGTCTTAATGTCTTTTGGAAGTGATAGGTTTGAGTAAGTAACACTGATTCACAGTGTTACTTACTCAAAAAAATCTTTTTCTTACAGGTAAAAAGAAGTGCATATGCTGATTGGTCTATTTGATTTGAGACTGAATATTTTTGTGCCTGTCAGACTATACTAACAAGTTTTATTATTGATTCAAAATTACTTGATTGATTTCTGATTTTGTATGGCTGTTAGTGTAAAAGCAGGCTGCTACAATTTTTAGGTAAGACAACATACAAAAAATATACTAGGGTCTTTTCTAAAACCATTTTTCTCTCTGTTTGCAGTGAAAATACTCAGAACATGTCTTGTCCTGTAACTGTGGTACATGGTAGACGTTTTCATCATGCGCATGCACAGACAGCAGTAGTAAAAACAGCAGCCCAAAGGTAAGACTACATTTGTTTCTCCAGATAGTCCAGCTGAACATAGTCTTGTCTAGTGTTCTATGTAATGGTTTTCCTTCTGCAGTGAAGGGTTTTAAGGAAACATAAATAATTACATGGTGCATTCTTCAGCATGAGCTTTGATCATAATTACTGAAGTTTCACTATACTTAACATATAGGACTTACTAGTAAATTCTAAGATTATATAATGATTTTAAAGCACACTATGGCACTTATTCAGTAGGAGAGCACCTGCTAATGTAAACACATTTAGAAAATGCTTTGAAATGGACATACTATGCAGTAGAAATTCACATAACTGACATAACCATCAAATGCTAATTATCAGAAACTCCAGCTTGAACAAAATCTCTTAAAGATTAAGTTATAGTTCTGTTGATCCTATGTAGTTAGTAAATACAGTGCAAAACATGTAAACTGGGATGTCTCACAGAAGCAAGGTTGTGCATGTCTGTAAATGTTAGAATGGAAAGCTGAAAACTGGGGTATCTTAGCTCGCAGAATTAAACCTCATTGCTTTGAAAACTTGAAACTACATCAGACTTGTATAAATTAGAGGGTTGTTTTTGAAGTTTTTTTTAACAGGCTTTTCACACCCAGTGGGTGTCTTATGAGCTAACCATTGTTTTAAGGTATTTTCTTTCAAAATTTGTCTATTCAGAGGTCTTCTTATCTATGTATTTCATGGATTTTCACTAGCCCACAGGAGTGCTTTATCCTGTCAGCATTTTGTAGTCTCCTACTTCTGCACCCTTTTTTCCTTTCTGTTTTTTTTTAGCGTAGATTCTTTGGAGCGGTGGGATCCTATGTAGGCATCATCCTCCTTTTCATCCAGCTTCTCTCACTTCCGTTCACTTTCTTCAGGAAAACAAAACAAAGCCACACACAACCCCCAAAAGAACCTAAAGCCCATATACGAATGTGAATCATAGAATGTTTGGGCTGGAAGGGACCTCCAAAGGTCACCTAATCCAACCCCCCCACCTTAAGCAGAGGGACATCTCCAACTAGATCAAGCTACTCAAAGCTTCGTCCAGCCTGATCTTGAATGTCTCCAGGGTTGGGGCCTCCACTACCTGTCTGGGCAACCTATTCCTGTGAGCTATCACCCTCATACTGAAGAACTTCTTCCTAACGTCTAGCCTAAATCTCCCCTTTTGTCCCTTAAAGCCATTACCTCTCGTCCTGTCACTACAAACCCTTGTGAATAGTCCCTCCCCTGCTTTCTTGTAGGCCCCTTTCAGGTACTGGAAGGTTGTTGTGAGGTCCCCCCTTATGTTCAGCCTCTTCTCCAGGCTGAACAACCCCAACTCCCTCAGCCTGTCCTTATAGGAGAGGTGCTCCAGCCCTCTGATCATTTTTGTGGCTCTCCACTGAACACGTTCCAACAGGTCCACATCCTTCTTGTGCTGGGGGCTCCAGAGCTGGACACAGGACTCCAGGTGAGGTCCCACCAGGGCAGAGTAGAGGGGCAGGATCACCCCTCTCCATCTGCTGGACCCGCTGCTTTTGATGCAGCCCAGGATTCGATTGGCCTTCTGGGCTGCCATTGTGCATTGGTGGCTCACGTCCAGCTTATGGAATGCCAGACAAGTCCAGCTATGGAGTGAATGAGTTATGTGATCCAAACATGTACTTGGCTAATCTGACATTGAAGAAACCAACTGAAAGTTGGATTTTTGCAGTCATGTCCCTGAGGACCTACACCATTGTTGCCTCTTTCCATTTCAAACTGTACTGTCATCTGTAAATGGAAAATAGCATGGGCATTTCCTTCCCCTTTGTCATAGCAGGTGCAGTAGTAGAGATCTCCCATTTCTTTACATTTCTTCCTGTCATTGCAAGGCAGAGATGACTACGGAGAATTGGCAGGTTGTTTCCTATAAACTAAACTGAAAGATGAGGTTTATGTTATCAGTGTCAATTAGGCTGAGAGAGATGTGCTCTCTTCTTCTTCCATGCAGTCTTTTTTAGACTATTTTTGTTCAGTGTTCCACTGAGGAAAGCATGGAGCATCATTTGTGTGCTTACCTTTCACTTTAATTTTTGTAGTTCTGTCACGGCTTAGGGTCAGGGCTGACCACAGACCTTTAACAGATGCTTTCTGTTAACACCTCTATCCCCCAAAGGGGAAGAAAAAGGGAATAAGGGAGAGAGACTTATCGATTAGAAAATTAAAACAGTTTTGATGAAAATACTACTACTACTAATAAAAAAGGAATATATACAAATATATACAAAACCAGTATTGAACCCAACAGCCCCCTGATGCTGTGGAGCAGGCCCTGGTGAAAAGTCAGATGGCAACTGAGTACAGGAGCTGGATTCTGGAACTTGTTTCAGGAACACAGGGCTGGGGATCAAAGGCAGAATGGATAAAGTCCTCCTTGGATGCCGGCCACTGTGGAAGGAGCAAAAGAGAAAAGGGGCTTGACCCTCATGATCCCTCATACAGAATATGACAGCTATGGGATGGAACACCCCACTGGTCAGTTTAGGGTCACCTGTCCTGTCTGCTTCTCCCTACAGGTGCAGCCTTTACTTTCTGAACCCCCAATGTGCTACACAGGGTTTAGCAGTGACCTTGGTCTGCACACCAGGCCTTGGTGGTGACTCTAAACATGGAGTGTTATCACTGCTGGAAGCAGACACTGTCTGTGAAAATGTGCTGCTAACTTCAGACAGGGCAGTTAGAAGAACTTTAGCTGAAAAGTAAAAACACTGAACAGAATTAGTTCTGTTCTTACCCAAACCAGGGCAAGTTCTAAGGGAGAAAATCTTGATCTGCAGTGCTAATTAAAATCATGTGAAGTAAGCAAAATGACACAAGATTGCTCGTGCTTGGATCTCTGAATGTTGACCTTAATAATATTAGTGTACTTGATTAAGCTTTGTTGTAAGAGGGTTCTTTGACACAGCCAGTCAATGTGGATTCATCTTATCTAGTTAAGCGCCATAGGCTTCTTCAGCAAGCAAGAGTGTCTGCCCAGAGACTCTTAATTTTGAGGGGATGTTAAACTTGCCTGCTTGCCTTTCTCACCTATCGGACTTGCTTCTTTATAAGCCTACAATGTAATGTGGAAAAAAAAAGTAGTGCCTTTGTATGTGTGACACACAGAAAGAAAACTAATGGATGATCTAGGCAGAGCTGGATATCGCATGAAGGAGCTGGGCAGGAGTCATCTTGAATGTTTCTAAATATGTTTTCCTTTAGGGTGGTTATTGCAGTTCATTTACATTAAGAACAGACAATTAACCCTTATGCTAAGAATATTTTAGGAGTTTCAAAGGCAAGAAGTAATCCTAACAGTTCCAAGCTATGTTTTGCTACTGGAGGATGTCAGAACCAGCAGGATCTAATTGACTGAGGATGAGCTTTACAGAGGAACTGTGCAAAAGACGTTTAATTTCAGTATCTGTTGCCAGTTGACTCAACGGATTACTTTTAAAAAGGTTCTAAGTCTGTTTCTGAGGAACAGAACGTGGCCTACTGTCATATTACTTCTATTAATTAAAAAAGGAGGATCTCACGGCTACTTGATATGGAAAATGTAGGTTTATGAATGAGAAGACAATAGTTGTTATAAGAGAAAAAAATAAAACTGTAAAACTGTTTATAATACAAAATTCTAGTGCATGTGAAAGTGGCTAATTTTTATGGCAATGTGTTTTTAATTAATTGGGAATTATTTTTTTTGCTAGTTTTTACTGATGTTAGACAATATTCAAATTTAAAAGTAAATTCTGATGACATCTCCTCAGAAGGAGTATATGCAGAGAATGAGGGTGGCAAACCAAGACTAAAATTCCAGGTATATATCAAGACAGAAAAGCTGGTAGCATGGAAGTTGAGTTCTAAGGTGTTGGGGTGTCTTTTCCTATGCTAATTTACAGGTAACACAAAGTTCTATTCTTTTACATTGCATTTCTAGAATTGTTCTATGGTATGATCAGTAACAACATGGGGAAAATAGTTTTAACTAATTGAATGTATCATTTTTAAATCTACAGTGCATTATTGAAAGGATAACCAAAACAAGAAACATGAATAAGTTACTTCTGGGCAGATTGAGTCTCTGGCACTGACCTTAGGGATTCTGTTATTTATACTAGGTTCTTTGAGTGGGAAAAGTGTCACATGGGGCAGCTAATTATGAAACTTGCAATTTCAGGTTGAATTTGGAGCTTGTGATGTGTACTGTATTTCTGATCTTCTTGTCCAATGTTTTTACACGTTCATGGTAATTTAAATTCTGAGTATGTTTCTCTCATATTTTAAATACAAGTTTCAGTACAACAAAATGTGTATTTCAAGACAATATTTTGGTAAATATTATTCATGTTTTCTTCCAGTGAAATCTGGGGATGAAATTAATATTTGTTCAGTTCTGATACAACAGATTTTCAGATACAGTTTATCCTAGTGTAGTGGATTGAAGGTATTTTGCTTCATTTAATGGATGCATAGCTCTATCTTCTGCTGTTGATTGACTGTTCTCTAAGACTTGGCATTGGAATAGCATGCATGTACAGCATGTCTAACGAATCTTGCATGTGAGCTGCACAAAGCAATCTGTAGGGACACTGCTCCTTATAATTCCTGGATCTGTCCAGGATTCTCATTTCTTATTCTTTCTGAGGGGTAGAAGTCAGAATTCTTTTAAATGCATTATATTAATAGGGGATTCTGTGGACTTGGCAGTGCTAGATTTATGGGTGGCCTCAATGATCTTAAAGGTATTCTCCAACCTAAACAATTCTGTGATTTTAAAAGAAGCAAGGCATCTAATGTGAGGAAATGTAATGTAATACTGTACAGCATAAAGCATTCTGGATTTTTTTTGTCCTGCCTTCAAGTTTCCTTGGCATTAAAAGGTACAGTTGTTAACAGCATGACTGTTTACAGCACCTGTAAAGAGTTAATCCAAGTTACATATTAACTGTGCCAAGGATACAAAGGTGCTGCTTATGGCTCCACACAGACATAGTTTGGATCTGACTGGATTTACAAACTCAGATGTGACCTGCACAACCCCAGCGTTTATTGTTTGTAAAGGCTAGCTCCAGTTAGAAGCATGCAGCACTGTCTGATTACCCCCATCCCAGTCTAAGTTGCAGTGGTCACCTTTGGATTTGAATTCCTTTCACTCTCTTCCCAGACCACTGTGGATGTTGAATGTGTTTTTCGTATGGTGCTCTGTAGGATTATCAGATTTACCTTCTTACCTGGTTTGGTTTCAGTCCTGCCATTCCTCTGGAGAACAGTTAGACAAGACAGAGTTTGTTCTGTTCTTGTGAGTGCCCTGTTTGTGAAGAGGAAAGGAAAGTGAGTTCACATTAACTCTGCAGTATCATTATTTGCAGTATCATTACTCTTTTTAATTTGACTGAAGTAAAACAGGAAAGAGTTTGAATTTTTTCAGTTTTAGAATAATGTTAGTATAATGCATATGCGACAGAAGATTGTTAGGCTTTTGATATTTGGGAGGAACAGCCACATAGATTAAAAGCTTAATGCATTCTGTATTGCAAGTTATGAGGAGGCAGGAGAGCTAAAGATATTGTTTTTAAGTTGTCTTCCTGCTGTGAGTGGTTACCTCTATTTTTATATCAGTCTTGGTATACAAAGGACCTGAGTTGTGAGCACCAGCTACATTCACTCATGTTAAAGGACCTGCTTCTGAAACTAGTGGCCCTAGTTCTTCCCTAATTTTGTAGATGCTTTTTAGCCAAAACCTCAGGAGGAGGCTGATTGCTTCTGTTTATCCTTTTCTATCCAGTAGCTGATTGTGTCTGGTCTCCTAAATGTTTAAGTAATGCTTTCTGACACTTTTTTTTTCCCCCTCAATGTAAATGCTTAGCTATTTTAAATATTTTTTGACTCACTGGAAGCGAGTTGTTAGTTAAATTTGTTTTATCTTCTTCTCATGGCGGTCAGGAGTTGGAAATGAGGCTTGCTTTTAATTCATCTATTAGGATTCTGTCATGTCAGGTTCTACATTACCGTGAATTAAATGAGATGACCAGGTTGACTTCAGAATTAATCAGATTTTACACATAGCAAAGGAGGCAAGGCAATGTAGTATTTACACTGCTGACTACTGCTGTCTATGAAGTAACGGTTGTTTGTGTGTTTATAACTACTGCTACAAAAATGCTGTGAAAAGTAATAATCCTCATTTAAAAACCAGGCCAGTGAGTGCAAGAGACAATGAAACAGTTGAATTTATATTTAATAACTTTTGAATTTAGCGATATGCATCACATGTGGGGCTTTGCATCTTATGTTTTTTTTTCTTTTTTCATATTTTAAGCAATCTGGATCGAAAGGAGAGGTAAGCTTACTGTTGATGAAATGAGCATGGCAATGAGCATTAAGAAAATTAACTGAATGAGTGCTTTATCAGTGCTAGTTAAAGAATATTCACTACATATCTGCTCATGTGTGAGGGGGGTGCATTGTTTTTGTTCTGTTTTTGTGGTTCACTTACTCCCTTTTACTAAAAAAGAACCTTCTCTGAATAATGCCATGTTAATGTGAACTCTGGGTACATTTCCACTGGAAATTTATCTATCAATTTACATATTGAATGTGAATATAGATACATTTTAATTTACTCTGGAATTTATGAATTCACTGCTAATTCTTTTCATAGAACACCAAACTTTGTGCGACTGAATGGTTCCAAAGCATATCTTAGTAGGGTGTTTAACAGCTTTCACTCTGTCATCTCAGGTTGGTTTGAATAGCATTAAAGGTGGTTGTTGCATTACTGTGTACATTCCATCCATGAAGTATGTATGTTAAAGCAATTAACACAAAATGCTTAGCAAAACCAGGCACACTGGTTTTTCATTGCTCATTTCAGGCTCATTTCTCATTCTGCGTCTGTTTTACTACTGTTAATATTTTTTTTAGCAATATGAAATATCATACATTTGGGTTTCTTCCTATATAACTTAAATTTATATGTTAGTGGAAATATTTTGTTCATAGTAATGGATTTGTTGCCTTTTTGTAAATATCCTTACTGTGTAGGTGTTTTTTGGCAGTATATGCTGCATATCAGGTTGAATTGCTTAAACAGTGTATATAATTTTTAACCAATAATGATATAAGTAATATGGAGATACAGTGTAGATCTGTTCTTTGTGAATTCAGAATTTTCTAGTTTTATTTCAAATTCAGTAGTAACGTCAGGCCTGTCTGTTTTACTGTCTTTTGTTATTTCTTAAAAGAAATATCTGAGAGATACCAATTAGTTTTGGCCCTCTAAGAAGGGGTTTAATCCTCCTCTTGCTGCAAGGGCTTTGAGTTCATGTATTTTTTTTCTGTTCCCCTTTGTACTGCATTTATGTTACTTGTTAACCATTCAGCTATTAATGTTTTTAATTTGGCACTGTATGTCAAGGAAGACTAAGGTTGGGTTACACGCTGGTGATGGTATTTTTCCCATGGGGCTACCTGCTGCTTCTTAATCCAGTACTACTGGATATGTCCTTTTTTCCTTCCATGCTTTTTGCTGCTGTCCTAGCAGGGGAAGATGATTTAGGCAGGAGGTGCTAAATTCAGTTTCTGTCATTACCATCACGATAAGTGCAGTTCCAATTCCTGACTTTTTGGGCCAAATGGGGCTACTGGCTTTTGTAAACACCCACTCCATGTGCTGCTGCATCTCTCTTGCAGCCATTGACTTTGGTCAGCATTTCTTCTAAGACACACTGAAGGTAAATCTCACCTCAGCAGCTTGGTGCTTCCTATCTTATCATGCTTTACTGTTGGATTTGTGTAATGGTATAGAGGCCAACAGCCTGCCTGGCAGTGGTGGTATACCTCCAGGTAGCAGTGTACAGAGGCAGAGTGAGGAAAGACTGAGTAAGGCAGCCTCTTGAGGAGCCAGGCTGCACATTAAACACAGCTCTAGTGTGAGCCTACACCTCAACGAAGTTAAGAGTTGTGCCACCTTGCATATACATGATATTTTTGATGCAGTTTGCACCAGATCTAGGTAGTTTTGAAAGCTCTGATCTAAAGCAGTACTGTATCCTGAATCCCTAGATCCAGAAGTTTCTGTTTCTTTAGGTTTATTACTTTCTGGCACAGACAGATATTGTGTCCGTGTTGTGTGTGGATAGTCTAGCAGCTTCATCTGTTTACCAGTTTGAACCCTCATTCTTTATGGAACAGGAGACTATTACTTTAAGTTAGGATTTAACAGCAAGAAGGCCTTCGTTTTGAAGTGCCTTTTTTTTTTATTTCCTGTGGGTTTTTTTTATTTTTTTTTATTTTTTTTAATTTTTTTTTATTTTTCTCCTTTTCCAGATAGTCCTTTCAAATACAGGGGTGTTTGTTTTTGAAAAAAAACCCTATAGTTTCCTTTCTGTTTCTGCACTCACATGCAATTAAACTGCTCACTGTACTAAGTACTGTACGGGAGAAAGTATCAGTGGATCTGCAGCTGCTCAAGTGACAACAAACATTGTGCTGAGGGAGAAGCCTTCGTTTTGTCATCTGTAAAAACCGTGGTGGTGGGTCCTACGTTTTTGTTTGTGTGGGGTTTTTTCAGGAAAAGAAACTAATAGCAGATGCTTCAAGTTGTTGCCCTCTTGTGGGAAGGCTTTTGCTGTCTCCAGGAAAGCCTTTTTAATTTTTCCACATGAAATCAACAATTAAGTAGAGTTTAAAATTCTCTTCACTTTTTCTGAGTTAAAACAACTTCAGAACCGACCTTGAATAGCAACTCAACCAAGTTAAATTGTGTTGGCAAACCTCAGTTGACTTGGGGCTGTGTTTTTAACTTAGATTTGGGTGTTACTGGTTCATTGTGAGCATAAAAAAAATAAAAAAGTGAGTGAGTAAAAGCTGAGTATATTGTGGGAGAAGAAAGGTGCTGGCTTTATGGTATCCCAAGAGATAAATCTCTTTGTGTTCCAGCCAGTCCTCAGAGATTAGAGGGGCTGGGGCAGCTGAGCTTGTCTCTTAGAGGTGATAATGTGGCACCAGATGCATGGACAGTCCTGACAGTCAGAAGCAGCAGTCGGTGTACAAATAACACACTTTATTCACATTAAACATACCCAGGTTCTTTAAGAGTATGGGTGATAAATGCATCAACTGATACAGCTCTGAAATACAATTGCAATTACACTAATAATCTCCTGGGAAAAACACTCTTTGCAGAGCTGTGGCCACAAATCTTAGCAAAGGCCTCCCTTGGGGAGGTGAAGGGAGGTGGGGGGAGGGTGAGGAGAACAGAACCCATTGGTCTGTCCTTACAACTTGGTGTGAATTCTCATCCCACAGGTTGGGTTTGAAATAGGGCTAACGTTTATACTTTGCTATCTGCTGTTGATCAAAGTGTGGGGGTGGGACTGTAGTCAAACCATTGTGAGTTGGTCTGTTCAGTTCCACAGACACTGATGACTTCTGCTGGAGGAAGGTTACTGCTGGGATAAGCAGAGAGTGGGAGGGATGGCCTGCAGCTGGCCTCGGTCTCCACACTCCTCCTCATGCCATTGTCAGACAGACTGATGGATCTTCACCCAGCCTCTGGGTCTGCTCTGGCCACTAGATGCCTATCAGCAGTGATGGGCTTTGCTATTTTCAGTTGTTTGTACTTCCTGCTTACAACACCCTTGTGTATTCTTGTTTGGCCTCTTAATAGGTATCAGTATGAGTTTATGTTGATAATACAAAATTTAGACAAGGGTAAATAATGCTAGTGTATTCTGATTTATTGTCAAAAATTATTAGCAATATATGGTTAGTGATGCATTTATTGTCTTAAAAAGATGAGTTAAATATGTAATACAAACCTGTACATTTTTTAGAAGAAAAATCATAACGTACCAGTGCTCAGAGACCTTGAATTGTTGAACTAATTTTTAAAGAGAGATTTCAGTGTTATAAATCTACCATACTGCTTTCGTTGTTTTCAGTGAAATGTCAATTAGTTGCAATATTGTTTCTCTTAAATGTCAATTAAATTTTTTGTATTTAAAACTTTTTTACAGAAAATAATTTTTTTAACAGTAGTTAGTTCAAAACAAGAGTTATTATTATGAAATAGTACTGAAAGATAATTATAACATGTCAGACAATAGCTCACGTGTCCTTACAGCAAAGTTTATGTTTCTCATATCTCCTATAATGATATTACAGGTTTTTTCTACCCTTTAGAATGTCATTATCAATGGTTTTGACAGTAACAGTTTCTTATTATGTAATGACTAGATTGAGCCCTGCCTTATACTTCCACCAATTCTGCCTTTAAGGTAACCTTTGTGATTTGAATTCTAAAAGAAAATCTTAAAAAAACCCATACACTTAATTTGTGAACAAATATTCACATGGAGTTTCTGATTTTGTTTCAGTTTTTGTGTGTTCAGGCATTAAAAATAATTTTTGTGGGGAGCAGGATTGTTTCAGAAACATTTAACACAATTGGTAACAAACTACTTAAACTGTCACCTGTGTTGTGCTTGTGGGCACTCATTATAAAGCACCTTGATGTCACTACAGTCTGTGGTGCTTTCCATCTGTGCTTGTTTCTCAGTCCTTTCTGCCCAAGTTTTCCTACACACTGCACACAATAAAACGTGTTTATGTTTAGGGAAGAAGTATCCCTAGAGGCATTGTAGATCAGTCTTGTTCCAAGAATGTTATTTATTAATAAAACAAGGGAAAACCATGAAAAGTATTAACTAGAAATGCAGAAAATTCAGAGGTTTTATAATTTGATGCATTAGGAAATGTTGTGCTGAAGGAAATAAACTTGCACCTAGTGCTGAAATCTGCTTCAGAGTCCATAGACAGATTTTTCTCAGGTGGCTCCTCAAAATTTTCTCTGTTTTTTGAGGTGTTACTACCTACAGCTGTTTTCCTTGCCTCCTTGGTGTTGATCCATGTCCTTGTAATCAGAGGTGGCAGTACGGGATGGGTGTGACCCCTTTGCAGCCCAGTGCACTGGTGTAACCTGCCAGTAAAAACAGTTTCTGCTGAAGTTGTTGGCAATGCCTCCTGTGCTTCAGGTGCTTGCCATCTTCTAATGGGAACAGAGATCTGCAGCTGCAGGGCAGGGTGAGAGAGCTGAGAAATGTCACAGACAGTAACTGAGGTGCAGTGAGCTTCAGGAATCTGAATTTGATAGCAGCATGATTTGACACACTTGGTGTAAATTGAAAATAGCTTTTACGAGACTCCAAAAATAATTTTATTACAATGCTTTCTGTTGCATTAATTTGCACAAACCCATGTGATACGTGCATTATGTAAATTATACCAATAAAAGTTTTATTATGCACTAATTTGCCTGTATTATTATATATTAAAAGCAAATATATAGGAATTATGTCTTCTCCTGTGGTGTTCTTTTTATGTTTTGACCACAGCAGTTTTTGTTGTCAGATCTCTTTCCTCTGCTTTGCATCTTCTCTTTCTGTTTTTTAAGATGTGGAATTTGTGGAACCTACTTTAATATTAAAATAATAATTTCTTTTTTTTTTTGGATTTTAAAAGTATCTATCTTGTACTACATGAATGAAGAGGAGATGCAGTCTTCAGTCTTTGAAGGCTTGGGTCTGCAAGTGGAAGACTCTTGAACTACTGATTACTATCAAAGGGGATTTAGATCATAAACACTTTACTGTAGCTATTCCTAGCGCTCTGGTAATAATTTTAAGTGTAAAAATAGGGTGTAATAGGATAAATTATTTATTTGTAGCTTTTAGATACATTTCAGGTTTATTTTGTTCATTGTGGCTAAATGATAACGGTGTCTGAATAACTGTATATCTAATTAATTTTCCAGAAAAGAATACCCACCTCGGCTTCAGAAAGTAGAAGCAGACCACATTAGGTTGCCACGGTCTCAAGAACTGGGTAGGTTTTGTTTAAGAGTTCTCATTTATTTTAAGTGGATTTTTTTTTTTTTTAATACCTGCTTTGAGCAGCAGGTGTGTTGTCAAACTTTGTTTAGCCTTCAGTATATGCATTTATATGCTTGTATCATGTTATTACAGAATTATACAAGTTTGTGCATGAAGGGAGGATTTTGCCCTTTTTGACAGATTTCTGTAACCTGTTCAGTCATGTTATGATTAATTCTAAAAAGCTTTAGTTATTTTAAAAACAACTGAAACTGGGAAAATTTAGGGTCATAGAGTTGTTGGAGATGGAGGAGATCTCTGGAGATCATCTAGTCTGAGCCCAAGCCCCCAGCTTGTTCTTGAATTTTCGACAAGGAACTTCTGTAGCACTGTTACTATGTGCAAATGTAACATGGTAAATAACTCTCAATATGAAGCATATTCATGCACTAAGGTAGTGAGCACAAGAGCCAGTATCAGCACTGCTCTGCACCTCAGCTGAAATATCTTCTTATGACACTGGTTAGGGACCATTGATGGAGATGCAATGGAGAAAATATAGTTTGCTTTGAGGTGTGAAAATAGTGAAACTGGGAAAGAAAAATCTCTGTTAGAACTTTGTCAGTACAGACAGATAGAGTTGGTGCTTAGCAATCTAGACTGGCCAGCTATTACGCTGTGCCTTTTTAGGTTAATTTAGGAAAAAAAACAAAACAAAAAAAAAAACAAAAAACAAAAACAAAAAAAAACCAAACAAACAAAAACAAACAAACAAACAAACAAAAACCAAACAAACAAAAACAAACAAACAAAACAAAACAAACAAACAAAAAAAACAAACACCTATTGTTGTTTCCTTTTTGAAAACGAGTCATTCTTCACTTTTGAGTATTATTCTACTAGTAGGATGCTTGTGAAACTATCAGTATGTATACCGAAAAAGTGTTAATATCTGTGTTAAAAAATACATGCTTAAAAAAGTTCCAGTATGGAGACTGCAATTAAACTAGTGAGTATAAATATCACTTTTACATTTACTGCTCTTTAAAGAAACTCTTGCTCTATACATTGGTAATTTATAGAGTTCTTTGTTCCTATACTCTTCCACTGTTTAAATGAATGCCATAATATAAACTAGTACATGGCAGTATAGTTTACTGTGTTAGCTGAGTCTTGTGTTGACGGAATAAATTCTAATTACACAGAACATTTCTAATTATTCTAAGTGCATTCACCAGCAGTTCTTTAGTGAAAATTACCATCAACATAATCTAGCAGATCCCTTCCTACTTTCAGTAGTAGGTGCTCCACTCTAGTTCTAGTGAAGTTAGTATAGATTAGTCCAAAGCCTCCTCCAAATACAGTAAGCTACAAACTGTCACCAAGAAACACTGAAATAGTATTAATAAAACAACATTTTCAGAGTTACTTTGGGGAATATTTTCATATTTATACAACAAATCGTGAGACACTTGAAGCAGTGTAGTTTGCTGGATGTTGAAAAAGGTGTTTATGTTTAGTTCAGGGTGGTGTATGTGAAGAAATACCTTGGTCATAATTATAAAAACATAAGAGCAGACATTTCTTTTTAACGTTTTTGCATTTTTTTTCCCTCCTAGACAGCATAATGGAAAACACAGAAGAGTCAGAATCGGAATCTGAAATTAAGAGAAAGGTGCAACAGAAACGTCACTGCAATTCGTATCAATCTGACCTGGCTCTATCTTCTGCTACAAAAAAAAGCTTAACTCCATTAAAGGTGGGTTAGATTTTAAAAACATGTAAACATGTTTAAAAGGTGATGCATATTTTACAAAGCCATTCAGTTGTAAAATGAGTTAATGTTGTACAAATCCTTAAGAGTTGGGAGAAAGATTTATGTAATCACATTTTTAAAAAATGTTATAGAGGTATTTAAGTGTTTATATTGATACTAGCTATGAAATATTTATTTTCTGATTTGAACAAACATGCTGCGATGGAAAGCAAAAGGATTTGTGTTTAAGTTGGTTGGCTGATTAATAAATCAGAAGCTGATAATTTTGGTTTGTGGTCTATGAAATAGAGGAATAATATTTTACTCTTTGAGATATACATTTTTTTTTTTTTAATGTCATGATTTTCTGTACTCATAACAATAAAGTTTGAGGTACTGCAAAGATAAAACAGTTTTCAGCCTGAAGAGGAGAGGAGCTGGGTCAGTTGTGGCTGGATTGTGGCCTGTGTGGGCCATTTGCAGTAACTCCTGCCTCTGAAGCAGAAGCTCTGTGTGCGTGTGGACGCGAAGTGTGCACTCAGGATATTCCTCCCTGTTACAAAGCCGTGCATGGTTCTGACTTCCAGAACTTCTTCGTGCACTGTGCACACGTGCAGAGTGAGGGCTGGAGCTGCGTGTAGAAGCATCAGCAGCTTGATGTCCTTGAGCCAGATCGTGTGCAGCTGACTGCATTGCTAAAACAAACTGTTCTCTGCCTCGCCGATAAAAAAACGACAGAGCTGATTAAGTTGTTCCAGGGGCATGATTTCATTTCCAAAGCCATCAGAGAGGTTGCACTTGTAAACAGCATTTAATAATTACATCTGGTACTCTTTCCTGTGTGTATTTTAGAAATCTTTAAAGTTGAGAACACCAGCAGTTATGAATGACAACTAGTAACTTTTTCTCAGACACAAGAGCTGAGTGCTTGTGGCAAAATATCAAGCAGTGACCTTAAAAAAGGCAAAACCCCCGTATTTTTCACACAATGTACTACGAGATTTCGAACAGGGATTGATAAAATTTGCGAGGTTACATCATTGTCAAACAGATTGATTTAAATTCAACCAGTGATTGAGAAAATGCCTAAATTGGTAACTGTATCAAGTAAGAACAGTATGTCCTTACTCTGTTCCCTCTGCTCCCAGACACCTTACCACTGGCCACTGTTGAAAGTACTGCGTGGGGCTGTATGAACCTTTACTCCCATCCCATAGGATAGTTGTGATCTTGTAAGACTTTATAGTTCATGGATAAATTTTGTGGTTATAGAACAGATCTTGCTGCAACTTACTAGCACATTTCTTCATTTTGTTTTCTTTTTTAAATGGGTTGTTTTATCCTTTATTATAGTAAAGGGATTTAACGCCATGCTTTATACATTTGTCGTGAGCCATGAGTTGCCAAAGTGTGTAGATTGATTGGAGGTTTATGGAACCTCTGAACAATTCAGAAGTGTTGTGCCAGAGGAGTTACAGAGATAACCAGCTGTTTGTCATGCAAAGTACAAATGGCTTTCACCTTACTAGACTGTTAAAAGTTGCAGTTTTTAAAGGAAGGAGAATATTCTGCTTCATATGTGCTTACTGAAAAAAAAAGATGAAAAATAACTAAAGCTTTAGAGACTGAAACTTAGAGATAGGGCAGTGTATTTGTATAGGGCATATAGTATTTGCATTTTGCAGGTTTCAAAGTTTAAAAAAATGCTGTATTATGCAAGTTATAAAGCAAACACATTTAGGTAGAACTCTTCTACTGAAGTAGCCATTTATCATAAAATAGAGTCTAGGAAGGAGTATGCTACTCTTAATGAGACACTGCTACTCCTACCATCAAGATGCAGGCTGTCAAACCATGGAAAGGAAGTTGAATTTAATGTTCTGATGTGTTGTTGAAGTAACAGGGTGCGGTTATTCTTTATCTAAGATCCTTCAGGTATGGTTGATAGTTTTCACTGAATATTTGAATGTCTGATTGAAATTCTTCAATGTGATTAGCAGTATCTTTGTAAAAACTACATCCTGTAACTGAGCCCTGAGGTCAACACTGGTTTTCATGTCACTTGTTATCTTATCCCACCACTTAGATTTTAAAGGTCTGACACATTTTATACACAGGGATTTTTTTTGCATCTGTTTCACTGTGGTTGTATGTAGCTCTTTTAATATGCAGAAATTTTGTAAAAATAACACATTCTTCTTGTATGAATTTTGTCCTTACCTTTTGTTTTTAAAAGTGTTTTAAGATCTCACTCTCAAGGGAGTCCTCTTTGTTGGAAAGGTGTTCATGGCTGGGGGTGAGGGGTTGCAAATTATGATAGCTATATTCTGAAAATTGGTTCAAAAAGGTTTTACTGGAATGTAGGCCTTTATTACCTTCAGTAGTTCACAGTACAGTGGTTATGTCATTTGAGCTCAGTGCTCCAGGAGGCAATAACATACATTAATGTCAGTACTAGAGGTGTCCCATATTCAACTGAGTACACATTCAGTAGCTTATGTGTTAGTAGTAAAACCCTTAGTGCAGAAGCACTTGTGATATGTAATGGAGTAGGAGAACACTGCATGTGAAAGAACCAAAACACACCTCTGACTTTGCAGTGGTAGAATACATTTTCATTCGTAGCCCCTGCTTTCCTCTTGAATGTTTGGGGAACTCCTTTTTATCAAGTAATTTTTTCTTTTCTGAGATACTGGACTCTAAAACAATGTATTTCCTTTCTAATTTTTCCTTCCTCCACCTCCTCTTGATTATTGAGGAGTGATTTTTCTGCATGCTTTGCCAAGCTGTTAAAAGAGATCTTTGGGAGGCCAAACGAACTTCATGACCTAGAGGCTGCAACCTCATGACGTTCATTTGTCTCTTTAGCATTGCTCTGTGGATACTTAGGTTACTTTATTTTTGGCCAATGAAACTATTTTTACAGAAATGATGTAACTGGACCTTCTTGCTGGTGGATATATATGTATCTGAACGGTGTGCAACCTTTTACATATGGAAAGAAATAATACAAGAAGGAAAATCTGAATTGCCCAACATTAATAACTTTTTAAAAATTGCCACAACTGATGTTTGTTCCTGTTAGAATATTTTTAATTTTCTTAAACAAAAAAACCCCCAGACTATATTTTACTGTTTGCCCTCTCTGCGTACTGTGACTGCTAATACAGTGGTATCAGTCTTCATTCTGAACTGTAATTAAATGAAGATTTGGAAATGGTATCTTTGTACTTACACATTTACTGATGCTGTGTTTGTGTTTTCGCCCTAGCTTTTGGAACAGACTGATTATTCTACTGATTGCCCAAATTGTGGGCAGGCAAATGAAAATCAGACCAAATGCCGACATTGTGAAAGTGCTGCTCTAAAGGATTTGCAAAGAGTCTCCAGACAAACTGTGACATTAAGTGAATCTGTGGGACCTTTATCACGTTCTTCAATACATCAGAATTCAACAGGACAAAAATCTTCAAGTACAGGGTTCAACACAAAGAAGTTTTATGGTTCTGCTGTTGGAAAAGGTCCGACGGATATTCTACTGAGTAATGAAGGTGTAGGACATTCTATGTTAAGACAAAATGGAAAAGTTGGTCTTATAACTGGGACGAAAAATCCTAAAATTACAGGAGGCTTAAGACAGAGGAGTACGAGACCATCTGAACTAAATGATCCAAGTAAGTACATTTTTATGAATATAGCCATAAAGTGGTAAAGAAAACTATTGTGTAATGATGGAAAGGTACTTGTAGTAATGCTTACATTACTGATTTTTGTATGGAATTTTTGTGTGTCTTTTTTTTTTTTTTTTTTTTTTTTCCTTTTCATATACTGAGGTACTGTGAAAGATGAATGTTGGGGAAGACAAAAATTCTGTCATGATTTGGTTGGTTGGTTTTAAAAGCCAGAAGTTGGTTTTAAAAGTTAGAAGAATTCCTTCATTCATTTTACCAAAGGGAAAGACAATCTTTGATTTTTATATATTTTTTTTTCCTCTTTTCCTTTTTGGCTATGCATTTATTTAAATGTCATAATTTGTAAAATGTTAATTTTATGCTTTCTCGAGTAAACTCAGTTTATAAGCAGGAAGGAACTGGAATTTGGGAAACAGTTTCTAGTTCCATGCTTAATTTACTAGACCGTGTTGTCTTACTGATTTGAACAATTTCAGTTGCAATTTCACTGTTGAATTTATATTAAGTTGTGTTATTCACTGTTAATTCTTGATTGAACCAAGAAATGTGCAGCCTCACTTCTGTGTCTAGAGGCAGATAAATTACACCCATTTCTTGCATAGTTAGTTGTGAGAAAGAAAAAATGGGGGAGAGAGTGCCTGCAAGCAGATTCCAAGTAAACATTAATGAGAGCGTAACCTAATGATAAATGGAGACTTTTATTTTGGCACTGCGGGACAGTTATATAAATTACTTCTAAGCTGTGACTTGAAAAGAAATTTCTGTTACAGAAAAATGTAGTGTTTGAGAATTTAATATTTTCTGTTTAGTTGTTTTGTCTAGTGATGATGATGAGGAGGAGGATAGTGGCAGCACTAGGAGAATGGAAAGCATTTCACCTCGTCCTGCAGATTCAGCCCGCTCCTCCCCAGCTCCTTCTACAGGAAAGGTGGAAGCAGCATTAAAGGAAAACAGTTGTGGAATAGAACAGAGAATAGGTAGTATAACAACAGATACAGAAATTGCAGTCACACTACCAAGAAAAGCAAGAATGAAAGATCAGGTACTATTTAATGCTTTGTTTAAAGAAAACAAAAATCAAATCATAAATGGAAAATGTGAAGGCTTGTTTTGCATTGTCATATTCATTTGCTTTTCTTATTCAGCAGCTCATTGAGTACTGTCTTTGCTTATATAATACTGGAAACATAAGAACATGTATTCATTATATTTACAAGTGTTCGCAATGATTTGAGTTATGCTTGTAACATAGATGCTTCTGTGTTGAATGTTTACTCTTTGAGACTGGGCAGGCTCAAGGACCTACTTAGTTTGCAGAAGAACCTCAGTACCAGCTGTTGCCTGGTAAAACTGCATAGAATCGTAGAATCACTGTGGCTGGAAAGGACCTCTAGGATCATCAGGTCCAACCACCATCCCAGTGCTTCCCTAACCACTAGACTATAGCCTTAAGTGCTACATCTGCTCGTTTTTTGAACACCTCCAGGTGTACAAAAGCATGTACAAAGTTAAACATGGAAAGAGACACTGGGAACTGAAGTGGCCCTTTGAAGTACTTTTTACAGCTGTTCCAATTAATAGCACTTCTTTTAAAGATTTAGTGGTGGGGCTTTTGTTTTTTAGTTGAGTACTGCTACAAATATTGGATAAACAAAACCAAAAAATGCACCGTGAGCAGACTATCTAAGTGCTGTCAAAGGGGACAGTTTTCACAGTATGTTAAAAATGTAACCATCTCAATAGCAAACCATTAAGAGGAATAAATTTTCTGTGGCAGCTGTTGTTGAATTAATAGTGTTGGTTAAGCTATTCTTGGGTCACTTGTCCAGTTTCACTATTGTGAGTTTGATTCAACAAGAGTGTCTGATCAGATTTCCACCTGCAGCCTCAAATCCTTTGTGTCTTCTGAGTTAGAATGCTGAAGTAATGAGGCCAAAACCATCACACTATGTTGAGATTCAGAACCCAACACTCTAGTGCAGCAATTGATTAAATGGTAGATGTTTATAATGTGGTGTAAAATTGGTTAACCACCACTATCAGTATAAAGCTGTGAACCTCTAGCCTACGTTAAAGCTGTGGGGCTGAAAGCTTGGATTGTAAGTAGTTTTTAATTTCAGTTATTCTGGCATTGTGTGCTGGATTAAATGGAAGTGTTGTACTGTGAATGCACTGGTGTCTAAGGCTTCTGAAACTCACCCAAATGGTTTCCTTTGTATATCCATATGTTCCTGTTCACTAGCCTTTAAGAACCAGTTGTAACCTTGGAAATTAACTGCACATTTTTGACAAAAGTAGAAAAGAACTTTGGAAAACAAGGGAAAATTCTTTTTTTTTTTTTTTTTGTGAAATTTAACACAAATTTTGCATTGATTCTAGGGAACTTACCGTGAGTTGCAGGTACCACAGTGTTTTTGTCAGCTATGATAAACAATAATAAAAGCTTTAAGAAGCTTTGTTCATTTTTCTCTCAATATGTTCACTGATTTTTTTTACCGAAGAGACTATTTTAATATAGCACCATTTTAATGTTTACTGTTTTACTCTTCGTCTGTGATTTAATTTTTGAGCTTTTAATAATATTCAGCTAGTCCAGCTGACAAAAATGATAAAGCTGTCTTCAACAAGAGTCCTAGGAAAATATTTTAATTACATGGATTTAGCATCTCTGCCTTCTGCACTGTATTTAAATGAAACATCCAAAAGTATATTTTGAATTACGACCAAGGTAGGCTAGTGATTAGGGACTTCAAAATAATTGTTGATATTTACTCTTTTTAAAAATATTAAATTGCTTAAAATGTTTTTCTGTGGGACTTTAATTGTATTTTGTAATCAAAAGAATGTTTAGTAATGGACAGCTTTGTGAAACAATACAAATACGAAAGAAAAGACTAGTGGACAGAAAATCCTTCAACAAAGTAAAGCAATATAAGAAGCAAAACAGCAATGAAATATATTAATCTGATGGATATCAGCTAGCTATCTTTCATCTTAATAGGTTTTTGTAAGATTGGCCTTTTGATAAACAGGAGACTTCACTGAGGTTACAGCTTCTGTCAGCATCTAGGGACTTTCTTGAACTGGAGCCAAACTCCATGTGGCCTTCTTTCAGTATTTAGTCTTCTGACCCTGGAATCTTTCCTAAAAACATCTTAATTGTTCTGTAGAGTTGCTTTAAGGAAGTTTGATTTGTCTTTTTTATTTGTCTTTCTGGAAGATTCTTCTCCTGATAATGTGGTGATGCACTGTACTCCAGTAGTCACTCAGTGTTTTCAGTCCCTAAAAGCTTGGATTAATAAAAAGCAAAATAAAAAAACTGAGCCACCAACATTGTGGTACTTATACAGTATTAGTGCTATAATATAAATGAATGAAAAATAACCTTGTTTTGCCAGGCTGCACAATAGTTCAAAATGAGAAAAACTGAACTGGTTTTGACAATTGTAGAAGCGTTATTTGTGGTTTGGAAATTTTAACTAAATGTCTGTAAGTGTCAACTTATATTTTTTTTCCTTGAATCTAGCAACATTAACATCTTCAGGTGTTCCAAAAAGTCCTTTAGGCAATTTCTACCTTCTGTTCATTTGGTTGAGGTGGATGCTATAGTAAGTAATCCCAATGACCAACAGAAAAGTAGCTGAAAATTTAGTCACTAGTTTTTAACAGTCTTGTTATGGAAATAAATCTTGGTGAGACATTCTGAAACCTTGCAAATTACTTTTCAGCTTGGGAACGTTGTGTCTACCACTCCAATAAAACGTCGTAAAGTTATTTCTCAAGAGATTTTAACAGAGGCTGTACCTCTAAATTATCAAAATTCCTGTGAAAGTGTCATTCTGAACTGTCGAAGTATACGAATAGGAACACTACGAAGAATGGTAGTGGAACCTGTGATTGTAAGTAAACTTGTTATTTGACATATCTCCCTTTAGTTTTTGTTGATGGTCATTGTTATTTTCACACCTGAACAACACAACGTTTTGCCTTGGTGGACAGTGAGTTTGTCTCTGATTTCAGTGGCAGTGGTTGCCAAAGAATCTCAAAGTAAGATATTGATAGGTGGGAGGGAGAAGCATGTATGCAAGTGAAGAATTTGGCTTCTGTAGAACAGTATTTTTTTTAATTAACCTTCTAAGTTAAATGGACACTTTCAAGGAGACATTAAAAGCTGGTTGCTTGCAGTAAGCCAGTTAAAACATGTACTTCTTATTGGGGTAACCACATAAATAGTAGAGAGGTGTTCCTTGCCCTTTCCACTTCTCTGCAAAACCCTATTGATTTATTTGCTTAAATACTCACAGATGACATTCTCTTTTGGATAATTTTATTTTTCCTTCCTATGATTTTTGGTGTTTTTCAGAGTATTTTAAAGCTTTTTGAAAACAGTACTTAGATCTTCAGTTTCAACACCCAAATATAACTCAAAGAGACACTGAATAGTAAAGAATATCCTTGCTTCCTTGAGTTTTAAAAAATGTACACTTGGGATTTTTTAAAAAAGACATTTTTATTTAATTTTTTTTTTTACTTAAGTGCATAATTTGTTTACTACCAGTTAAAACCCATTAAGTCAATTTTGGTTTGGAGAAGATGCGAAATCTTATTATTGTGTTGTCTTCCACAGTTTTGCCTGGATTATATCAAAATACGCCTAGAAAGTCAAGAAGGTGAATATATCTTTCATTTTATGTTAATATAGTTATTTCAAATGAAGTAACTTTGTCAAAGGAATTAACGAGTGAATCATAATGAATTGTTAATTCTGGTTTTGTTACATTTGTCATATATTATACTGAGTGCCTGTAGTCAGATAAGAGGAAAAAACCTGAGAGTATAAATAGACCTGAACTGCCTGCTGAATAAAAACCAAAATGATTTTGCATTATCTCTGCTTTGAGAGAAAGAAAATTCACAGATAGCAGGAATTAGCAGTTTGTGGTGTGCATGCAACTGGGTCATTAGTTCTTCCCCTTGATCCTAGTTGAAGAGCTGTAGATATTCTGGTGATGTTTGGCAAATGTCTTGTTAACAAAACAAAAGGCAGCCAAAAAGATTTGCCTGCATAACATTACCTCTTTAAGTCTTTTTTAGTTCTTTTATTTCAGATTGGTAAGTAGAGAATAACACACAGGTGTCTTAGACCTTTCCTGCCTATATCTCCCTTTAAATTTTTTTCTCCTCTATCCTATAGATTGTGTATTTCCTATTACTGAAATAAATGCAGTGACATAGCTTAGGAAATTATGAGCTTACAATTGTTGCTCTGTTTTCTTTGATTTCTTTTATAGAGTTTTGTTTGGTCCTGAAAAGAAGGCCTGCATCTTTTTGTTAATCTTAAGTTTCCATGAAGATGCAGTGCTATCAAATTTTGCCTTTTGTTATTTGTAGAAGAGAACTATTGTATTTAGTTGTTATTATACACAAAAATGTATCTCACAGCCTGTAAAGATGAGTGTAGCCATTGCTCAGGCAACTGTTTCAGTTTCTGTTGCATCTAAAATAATAGAGACTACCAGTATTCATGTATTTAAAAAAAAAAAAAAAAAAACACATTACAAAGCTTAGTAAAATTTGTAGAAAATGTCTACCAAATTTTAGTCAAAATAGCTGTGTGGTGAAATTAGTTTCAGGGGATGTGATTCCTTGGTAGCATAAAAAAGGGAACTCACTAATGCTGTGTTTATTGGATCATTTAGTACTTTTTCCATTTCATTTTTTTTTAATTTTTGTATCTGGAGCAAGTTCGGTGTGTTCCCAGTGAGCTCCATTTCTGTTAGCTTTAAAATCATAGTGTGATTTGTTTTAATACAAGTAAGGGTCTTAAAATAAAAGTGACACCTATTTTTTTTTCTCTTTAGATTGATTACAGTGGTCATGCTTTTCAGGGAAAGGCAAATGCTTTGAACAGCTGTAAAGCAGCAGTGCTGTCCTGCCTTGAGATTGTTTTTTCATGTTTAAATACATGTCAAGATCTCAAAATTTTCTCTACATCCCTTGTCAGTTTTCTGCAACTCCCAACTGGTATTTCAAGGAAACAGCTTTCTGTTTCTAATGTCTAAAAAACTGTTCACATTACCTGTAACGGATAAGTCCTATTGTCTGTCTTACATCAGCATTACAGGAAACATTGTCCACAGGTTATGGTGTTTATGGTCAAATGTATTATAAAATACCTCTCATAATGCAAAAAGATAATTTATATATATATTTATATATATATTTAT